CTGATCACATTGTTCGGCACCGCGGCGGCGAGCCGCCGCGAGCCCACAGGAGAGCTGGGCGCCGCGGCACCAGACCGCGCCGCCAGCGAGGCGAGAGCTGCAGCCGACCGGCCGTGACATGGCAGTTGCAACGGCGGGATAATAGTTCAGCTCAGCTTATTTTTCAGGGACCGGGCGCTGGCATACCAGGGGGGGCAGGGTGGTGGGCGGCGACCGCCGCATACCGTCCTACGGCGGGGACTATCGCTACGCCAGGGAAGACAAGGGCGTCGAAGTGCAGCTGCTGCTGTTCGAATCGTTCGGCGGGTTCGGAAAGGGGGTCCGTGAGATCCTCAGGAAGGCGGCGGACGTACTACAGAACAAGCTGACGCGGGCCCAGTACCTCGATGAGGTGACTTGGACCACCAAGAGCTGGCTGGGGCTGCAGAAGCAGCGCATCTCAGTCGTTCTTCACACGGCAATCGCAGAGCAGATTGTGAATGAGCTTGCCTGTGGCGGGGGTGGGCGGGTGCACGGAGCTAAGTGCCTCGCCACCCTCGCAGGAGTCGCTTAGGCGGCTCCCGTGGTGTACCTGTGTTAGTGCCAGTGCGAGCCAGTCCCGTGCCCAGTCCTGTGCCCAGTGTCGTGCGAGGGAGTTTTGTTGTAAAATTATTTTTCATAAAATTCTTTTTTGGCTGTTTGGCGTGTGGTGTAACGTCTGTTTGTGCGGGGCGGTGAGCACTGGATAGGGTCGATTCCGCATGGTACGGGAGAACGGGACACGGGACCCCTCGATCGTCTCGCCCTCTCCCTTGCTGGTGTGTTCATGGGGGGGGTCATAACAAACACGGTACAGGACACTGTGCCTAGTTTGCCTCCCTTTGCAGGAGAGGACGGGGCAAAGGACGACGCGGCTGTGTATGCCTCCCTGTTAGCGGACGCGTGGCTGTGTGTGTGTAGAGAGAGAGAGAGAGAGATCGAGTGTATGCCTCCCTGTAGGAAGCGGCGTGCGCGGCGCACAAAGTCAAAGTCGCTCCACAAAGACGGGCCAAGCCTGCCTAGTATGAAGTATGAGGCCCTCGAGCTTGGATATCGGGCTTGCTACGAAGCTGCTCGATTGCATCTGGGGACGCCGCTCGCCGGTCACAGCAGGGCGGCGTTAGAAGGATTCATAGGTGAACTCGCAGCTCGCGGGGACGCGGACACCGGAAATTTTGTGAATGAACAGCGTCTAACCGAGAAAAAATCGGGGTCGACGTCACCGCTGACGTCACGCTGACCGCTCACGCTGACCGCTCACCTCTGTCCGATCCGTTCGTCCATATGCAGGTGGCACCGCTCCTCTCCTCCCCTGCGGTGCCCACCTTTTCAAAGTTCCGGGAGCCTCCCGCCGCGCTCTCCGAAGAGTGGCGCAGCTGGTCGACCGCGAACTCCGTGAGCGCGGCCGAACTCTCCAACGCCGCAATCCGGCACGCACTCGCGGTGACCCGCTTTTGCAGCGCGCGCTCACTCGGCTGCACGTGGGCGGAGCACCACGCGCTGCTGGACATGAGTCGCGCGCCATACGCTCACCTGTACGACCAGCACACCGTCCCGAGCGAGGCGCGTCCCGACGCCACGAGCTGCGCGCGGCTTCACCGCCCGAACGCCTCGCAGCTGCTCGCGCTGGTCCGCGACTCGCAGCCGGCAGTGCTCACCGGCCTCCTGGACGGCTGGCCGGCAACGCGCAAGTGGACCGACGAGTACCTCGCGGCCGCACTCGGCGAGCGCAGAGTGGCGCTCTCGGTCACAGAGGGCGACTCTTGATACTCGAGTTCGCGGAGTATCATCGTATGCCAGATCATACCCCAGGGCTATACCCTGATACCCTCTTGAGAGGACCCGCATTGGGCCCCTAGAGGATAGGCTGATACCCTGGTGGGTTACCCTTCACACCGGACACGACCCCCCTCTTCACACCTCTTCGCGCGCGCTGCGCGCGCGCCAAGACAGACAACGCGCTCGAATGAGCGTCGCGCAGGAGGGAGGCGAGCGCACCACTAAGCAATGCGCTGGGCGAGGAGGGCGCTAATGGCGGCCGTCGTCGCATTTGACGGGCCCGCGGCCGCAGCCGGTGCGGCTGCAGCCGTGGGAGGGGCCGCGGCCTGCACGGCTGCGGCCGGGGCCGGCGCCGCGGGGGGCGCGGGGTTAGGCGCCGTGGCGGGCTCCGCTGCGGACTCGGTGTCCCCCGCCGCCGCCCCCATCGCCTGCGCCGATGCGAGCTGCTGGCGCGCAAACTCCTCGCTCGCGGCCGTCTTCGCCGCCTTGCGCTGCTGCCCGACTTCCACAGCCGCTTGCGCCTTCGCCCTTGCCGCCGCAACCTTGGCGTCGAAGGCCGAGCGCCTCAGAGCAAAGGAAGAACTTCAGGGGAAAACCACAATAAAAAGAAGGACTTGTAGCAAGAGGAAAAGAAAGAATGTATGTATGTATGTAGGAAGGTGAAGAACAGTCAGGCTCGGACTGGACACCGACGCGGTATGGGTGGACTCAAGTGCCCCCCCCCCCCCCCCCCTAAACGAATCCACCAGTCTCCGGCCCGGAGCATGACACCAACAACAGACATTAGTGCCTCGACCCCTGGCAGCGCCGTGCTCATCACCGGCGGCCGCGGTGGCATCGGCCGGGCGCTTGCCGAGGGCCTCAACGCATGCGGGTTCTTCGCCATCGTGACGGTTCGCAAGGTCGAGGACGTCGTCGCACTCAAGGCTGAGGGCCTAACGGCAGTGGTGATGGACGTGACCAATTCCGCCCACACGGAGCCGGCGGTCATGAGCGTGAACGCGCTGCTGGCATCTCAAAACCTGCGCCTCGTTGGCGTCATCGCCAATGCGGGCATTAACCCCGAGGGCGATCGGATCACGCAGGCGGCAGGTGGGAAGACCCCAACCGAGCTCAGCGAAGCCAGCGTTGCGACGGCGATATTCGCCACAAATGTCGTGGGCGTGGCCGTCACGGCGCGCGCGTTCCTGCCGATGTTGCGCGAGGCCGGCGGCGCCGGCCGGCTGATAATTATCGGATCATACTTCGGCACCATAGCCGGTGCGATCGGTGAGGGCCACGCGTACTACGAAGCCTCCAAGTTTGCGGTGGAGGGCCTCTGCGATAACCTGCGGCGGTCAGAGGCCAAAAGGGGCGTGGCGGTTAGCCTCGTCAAGCCGGGCAACATCTCCACGGCCATGAACGCCGTACACGGCGAGGATCCGCCCGAGGTGGTGTTACGCGCGGTGCGGCACGCGCTTGGCTGCAGGCCGCGGCACCGCTACCACGTCGGCCGCGTGAAGGGCATGGGCGTCTGGCTGCTCTGCTGGCTCTTCAATCACCTTCCGACCTGGCTGACCGATCGGCTCCTTTCATGATGATCTGTCGTGGGGACGGCGCGAAAGGCTCCAGAGCCATGAATCACGCCTTTACCCCCATACACAGAATATGAATGGGCGAGTGCGCGCGAGAGAGGGAGCAGGACATGTGCCGGCATTGAGATAAGCAAAAAAAACTTCGTAACTCCTTGGCGACGAGCCGCGGGCTTTTGCCACTGCGTGCCAGCCTCAGACAGCCGGGGCGGCCCGGGCCGCCCGAGAGTTTTACTGACGAGTTTCTCTCGCGGGGGCGGCCCGGCACAACCAACCCTGTGCCTAGCACAAAAAAAAATCTGGCGCAGCGGCCGGCGTGAGCCGCGCCAGCTGGCGACAGATGTCGACAGATTCGACGGATTTGACGGATCCCTTGATGGTCCGATGGGCGACGGGCGACCCCCCCAAACCCCCCCACCGGGTCTCGAACCTGCCTCCACTCGCTCGAATCAGGCGCTCCGAACGGCTTTGCAAGCCGGCTTGCAAAATTGACGACTAATGCTTCACTGCCTGATATAGTACCATTTTACTGCTTCAGCATCAACGCCACGCCACGTTCTAGGGACGCAGAGCGCGCACTGAGAGACCACTCACATCGCTGTTGCGGGGCGGCAATATGTGACTGGACTCGCCGTGCGCGCCCAGCTAACCCTAGCCACCAGCCTACCGCCATACCCAGGTACGGCCGCACCTGTCTCTCCACCTATCATCCCAACTCCTCGGGCTGCGCTACTCAGGCAGCCTCCCTGCCTCAGCTGTTACAGGCACCACCCACCGACCAGTCTCGACGACGAGCCGCGGCAGGGCTCGCTGCGCCGCTGCACAGCTTTACGCCACAACACAACATATCAACCAACGTAACCTCCCCCTTAGTGACCCACCCTTGCGGGCTCAGTTGCCGCATTAGGAGCCTTCGCACCGCGAGTGGGCTCAGGTGGGATCCACGGAGAGAGAGGTTCCATACACAGCCGCACTCTACACACCTCTTACCCCCTCTACTCGGGCGGCATCGTGGTGAGACCCTGGGCAGTCAGAGAGGCTGACAGTAAGTGGCGGGCTGAGAACTCGGGCCTCTCCCGACCCGCCATCGCTGCCTAAGGGAGGATCCTATCGGCCACTAGACCATGACAGATCAGAGGCGCACACGCCCTGTCCCAGCTCCCCCACTCCTCACACTGGGTTTGCAGTGCGCGGCCTCGCCACCTCCCTACCAGGGCAAACCCCCTCTCTCCCCCTAGGTGCTGCACTTGACGTCCATAGAAGGCGCGCGGCAGAGGCGGGAGGGAGGCGGGGAGAATCTAGCTCGCTCTGGCAGGGAGGCAAGGGTGTGATAGAGTGTTTGGGTGAGAACAGGCGGAGTGTGTATGCCTGTACGCGATTGGGAGAGCACTCGTGACGAGGCATGGTTAGGCGAGTGGCAGTCGCTAGTGCGGACTTGCTAAGTCGTGTGTGCTCCCTTTTGCTTGCTAAGACTGGAACAATTTTTTTTGAGATAAGCATTGATGATGCGAGAGCGAGGTGCAGTCTGCAGAGGTGCCGATAAGGAAAGGGGGGGAAGGTACAAAGTAAGTAAACGTGCCCACGAAGGGGAGGCCCTGTGTTCAGGCTGTGACTGTCACGCACACAAAACGTGGCGTGGGGCAAGGGGCGGGGCGACCCTGGTGTCGTTGCCACCTCACCACACTGTCTTAGCACACACAGTGAGTCATTGCTCATTCGGAGTCATTCGATGGCCAGAGTGCGATTGTGTGTGTGCGGGAGTTGGTTTGTCGGGAGGGAGGGGCAGGCTGCTCACCCACGTGCACCGGGCCAGTGCTTGCACTTTGAATGCCGTGGGGCTCCTGCCCGTGTCCGGGCGTGGAGATGCGAGGGTCGCCCCCCCTTGCCCCACCACTTTGTGTGTGTGGAGAAATCTACCTTACCTTACCTTACCGTCGCAGGGGCGCAACGGTCAATGCCGCGCCACAACCCAGGTTCTCTTACACCCAGCCACACGCTCGGTGCTCGGCTTGCTCTCTACGGTGAGGTTCTGCGCACGGGGCGAACGGGGAAGGGAGGAGGGGGGGGCAGTTGTGAGAATGATTGCGAGAATGATGGCATGTTGCTTGCCAGACGGATGCTCGCGGGGTGAGACGGCGGTAATGAGGGTATTTCGTGTCGTGCAATCGGGGGCAAGCCGCGCTGCTGAGTGCGTGACGAGAGAGATTGGGGGGGCGGGCGGGGGGGGGCGCCTTCAGGCTCGGCGCGGCTTGCTTCTTCTTGAGCGCGACAGCCAGCACCTTGAGCCCCTCGTCGCTCACCTTGGCAAGAAGATACGGGTGAGGGGCTCCACCACCGCCAGTGCATGGCTAGCCTCCCCTAATGAAGGGGCGGGCGCCATATTGCTGCTGAGGTTGAGCGTCTCGAGCCGCGGGGCGGTGCCGTCCGTGGCGAGTGCGACCGATAGCGCCTTGATGCCGCCGTCGCCGATCCGGTTGGCGCGCAAGTCGACCCGCTCCAGCCGCGGCACGGCGTTGAGGGCGGCGGAGAGCTCCGCGAGCCTGCAACAGGACTGAGTACTAGCTGAATGCAGGACTGAGCACTAACTGCAGCACATCGCGTTCCGGCACTAGCCACCACGGGTGCATGCAGCCGAGTCCGGGTCCGAGTCTTCTCCAGTGCTAGCACTGGAGCTGATCTGAGCCGTCGGCATCTAGCGCCGCGAGCCCCGCGTCGCCAACCTGGTTGCCGGACAAGTCGAGCTGCTCGAGCCTAGAAAGTGTCTAGGAAGTGTCTAGGAAGTGTCTAGGAAGTGGTTGCCGGACAAGTCGAGCTGCTCGAGCCGCGGCGCCGCGCCGCTCGCGAGGACCGCCGCGAGCTGCGACGCCTCGGCGTCGCCCCAGCCGAGGCTGGCGCAGTCCAGCCGCGTCGCCCTGCCGAGCTGCGAATGGAAGGCGCCCTCGTACAGCCGCTGCCGTGGTGGAAAAGGGTGTGGGTGAGAGGGCGATAGGACGACGCGAGAGGAGAGGGTGCGTGGGAGTTGTGGACGAAGAGAGGAGCTGAGGAACACGAGGAAGCAGGACGCGAGGGAAGGGCGGGCAGGGAGCGCCATCGCCTGCAGGACGGGCCTGTCCTCGCCCTCGGTGACCCTCTTCGCCTCCAGCTCGGCCGCAAACTGGGGCGGCAGCAGCGGAGGGCGCCAGCCGTTGCCGCGCGTGCACTCGAAGATGAGGCCGGGCCGGTCGTACTCGCAGTCGGGGCGCATCCGGCCGAGGTCGAGCGAAAAGGACGCGCGCTTGGTCAGACTCGCCCAGCTGCTCTCGGCGTAGCACCAGCCGCGGTCAAAGTACTCGGCCACGTTGGCGCCCTCGGGCTGCTCCTCCGTCTTGTGGCCGTCCGGGAAGGAGGTCAGGCGCAGCACGGTCGTAAACGGGTGGGAGTAGAGCGTGCCGAGGCAGTCCAGCCCCTGCTTGAATAGCGCGTTCTGCTCCTCGGTGCGCATGACGCCGTTGGCCGGGTCGGGGTGCTGGTGCAGCGAGCCGAAGTCCCAAAAGACGCCTAGCCGGCTGATGTAGGACGAGCCGAGCAGCGCCTTCAGCGCCTTTGCGACACGGGAGAGGTTGGCTCCGCGTGGGTCGGGGTGGCTTGTTGTGAGCCACGGACAGGACAGCACGGCGACGGGCAGGCCAAAGACCGCAGGATCTGCCATCGCGAATATAAGGTCGGCGAGCGAGAGGAAGGCCTCTCTGGGCAGCGACTGGCGGTGAGTGAGAACGCCGCTCGCCTCGGCGTGGCTGATGATCCACTGCGCGTCGAGGAGGGCGACGGCGCCGCTCGTGAGGGCCGGCTCCAGCTCGCCGCCGCCGTGCTTGCGCCAGAGCGCCAGCCGCCCCTCAGGGACGCCGAGGCTGACGGCGCTGGCGAGGTGAGCGCCGATCGTCCACGCCGAGGCTGGCGAAGTGAACGTGGTGAGGGCGGCAGTCAGGTTCACCTCCTCGGCGAAGCCATCGCCAGAGCTATGCGCCGCCATGAAAGCGATCGCTTGACGAAGAGGCACGGAGGAGACGGTGTCTCACTCACTCACACACGAGACGGTGCGTACACACGCGAGGCGTGGATGGACAACGCATAGGGATCACTGCGTGACAGCCTCCACATATCGGGGGTCACGCGCCGATGCTCTATCGCTTGTGTGTGTGTGAGTGAGTGAGTGAGTCACACACACACTCTATCGCTTTTGCACTAAGAACCAGTCTTATTCACCTACTACCACCTTCCTTCAAGGAACCTCCATCACGCTCTATACTCTACCTACAGGGCGTCGCGACATGGATGAGGCAGCGGATCGCTCCTCAACCCGAGCCTCTCCGCGGCGGTCGGTCCACGACCAGCCCGTGCGGGCTAACCTCGGAATGTAACACCAGAATGGCTGTGCTGGCTCGCCTTCACAGCCATCTTACCTAAGGATGGCTGAGCTAGCTGCAGTGCAGCCACATCCTTCAGCCCGATGGCTGCAACACACACACGGCAGCCATCCTTAGTAGACATGGCTGGAGACGCACTACCGCAGCCACACCGCCCGCCTCGAGGTGAGCCCTCTTGGCTGACCTGGCTACATTGCAGCCATCTTGGGAAAGATGGCTGGGGGACAGCCATTCAGCCATTTCAGCCATCTACTATGGCTGCGTCATAGAGATTGCAGCCATCCTCCAGAGCCATGGCTGGTGGTAATTCGATGGCAGCCGATGGCAGCCGTCCCGCGAGGCCGGGGGCGACAAGCGCGCAGCTATTTTTGTGCGTGTGGCGGGGGCGGCGGACGGCTGCCATCGAATTATCACCAGCCATGCTCCGGAGGATGGCTGCACTGACTGTGCCCCAGCCATAGTAGATGGCTGAAATGGCTGTCCCCCAGCCATCTTACCCAAGATGGCTGCGATGTAGCCAGCTAAGCCAAGAGGGCTCACCTCGAGGCGGGCGGTATGGCTGCGGTAGTGCGTCTCCAGCCATGTCTACCAAGGATGGCTGCCGTGTGTGTATTGCAGCCATTAGACTGGAGGATGTGGCTGCACTGCAGCTAGCTCAGCCATCCTTAGGAAGATGGCTGTGAAGGAGCCAGCACAGCCATTCTGGTGTTACATTCCGAGGTTAGCCGCCCGTGCGACTCCGCTACTCGTCGACAAAAGAGAGTACGCCCACATCAAACCCGTCTCCGTAGTCGAAGGTGAGCTCCTCCCCCTCCGCTATTTCCCGAAGTGTCACGAAGGCGACCCGTGGCGTTCCGAGCCCGTCCCGCCCCTCCTCTGCTAGCAACTCGCTGCGGGCTGACAGGCTGGGGCGGCGGGTGGAATGGTTGATGTAACGCGTCCAGTTGGAGAGGCACTTGGAGGCGTACACAATGCAATCCACCTGCAGCCAGCTAGAGAAATCAAAATGGAATTGTTATATTTTCATTTTTGGAATTAATTTGGTTGGTCGGGTGCGAGAACTTTTTTCTTTTTTCTCGAGCTCTCACCGCGTCGCTCCCGCCGAAGCGCCCGCGCCACTCTCTCGCCGCTGCCCATGCCCGACGAGCCAGAGGCTGCTGCGCCGGCCGGCGAGGCGGGCCTCTCGAAGAACGAGCAGAAGCGGAGGGCCAAGCAGGAGGCCCAGGCCAAGGCTAAGGCCGAGAAGGCGGCGGCCAAGGCAGCCGCCGATGCGGCAAAACCAAAGCCGGCGGCGGCGGCGGCGGCACAGGAGGAGGAGGAGGAGGAGCAGGACCCGACCAAGTACTTTGAGAACCGGCTCACCTTTGTCAACGGCGTCAAGGAGAAGGGCGCCAACCCGTACCCGCACAAGTTCCAGACGTCGATGCAGCTGCCCGACTACGTCGGTACAACTCCACCGCCCACCCGTCTCGCCCGCCCGTCGCCGAGGCCTCCTGCGCGGAGACACACTCTCGACCGCCGCGACCTCGCGCCCCCCCTCCGCCTCGCAGCAAAGTACGAGTCGATCGGCTCAGGAGAGATGTCGGCGGACGGCGGCGTCGGGTGCGCCGCCGCCTCGAGCCTGAGTCCACTGCCTGCTGCCGACAGACCCCGCTGCTGTCGTTCTCTCCTCCGGCCCTCTCCCTCCTCTCGTCTCTCGCCCCCTGCCTCCCGCCTCCTCGCCTGGCCTCGTTTCTCCTTTTCTCTTCTCTTGTCGTCTCTCTCTCTCACTCACTCTCACTCTCACTCTCTATCCCTCTCTTCCCGCCTCCATCCCACGCCCCCCCCCTGCCCCGCCGCCTCTCCCTCACCCCCGCCTCCCGCGTGCCCGCTCTGCCGCAGCCTCGCCGGCCGGATCGCCACCAAGCGCGCGGGCGGAAAAGGCAGTCCACGCGCCTGCTCGGCCCGGCCACCTCCTGCTGGCTCACCAGGTCACGCGTCGTGTGTTGAGCGAACCAGGACTCGTCTTCTTCGACGTGGTCGGCGACGGAGCTAAGGTGCAGGTCTTCGCCTCCGCCGACAAGTTCAGGCGCCGGTTCAAAGTATCGCCGCCGCCGCCGCCGTTTGTTTGGATGCACTTCGCAAGACACCTCCGAGACACCTCCGAGACACCTCCGAGACACCTCCGAGACACTTCCGATACCCTTCCGACACACCTCCGAGAACACTTCCTAGGCCCTTCCTAGACCCTTCCGAGACACCTCCGAGACTCTTCCGAGACTCTTCCGAGACACTTCCCGTGCCGCCTCGAGGACGACAGACAAAAGGCGAAACTGAGAGCGCCAACACACCTGCGCCCCTCGCCGCCCGTCCGGGAAGCGGGGGATCGCGATCTCCCTGCCCGGAGATTGCGACCTCCCCCCTCCTCCGGAAAGGCGCCGCGAGGCGCAGTGGCGATGATCTCAAACCACCAGAAAGTAGTTTTCAATCAGAGGGGGGGCACGGGGCCATATTGCACGCACGCACACACACACACACACACACACACACACACACACACACACACACACACAAAACACACACACCCTCCCGCCTCCCATTTTGCCCCCCCCCCCCCCCCTCTTCCCTTCCGCAGCGACTACGCCGGGCTCGAAAAGGACGAGAAGGCAGACCTCTCGCCGCTGCCTCACGAGCCTCACTGAGTAGCTCACTCTTCATTAGTTAACTCCCCGCCAGGCGGCCCGCTTCTCGGCGCTGCCTCACGAGCCTCACTGAGTAGCTCACTCTTAATTAGTTCACTCCCCGCCAGGCGGCCCGCTACTCGGCGCTGCCACACGAGCCTCACTGAGTAGCTCACTCTTCATTAGTTAACTCCCCGCCAGGCGGCCCTCTTCTCGGCGCTGCCTCACGAGCCTCACTGAGTAGCTGACGACTCAGTGAGTAGTTAGCTCCGCCAGGCGGCCCGCTTCTCCGCGCTGATGTCGACTCTCAAGCGCGGCGACATTGTCGGCGTCCGCGGCACTCCGGGCGAGATGCAGCCGAGATATAGCCGAGATATAGCCGAGATATAGCCGAAATATAGTCGAGGTATAGCTGAGACATGGCCGAGATGCAGCCGAGATATAGCCGAGAGGCGGCCGAGATATGGCCGAGGCTCTTGACGGCTGGTGTTCACAGCCGTGGCCGTGAACAGGCAGGCCAGTATCAATCAATAGATGATGTACGCTAGTGATGAATGAAACGCCGTGGCAGTGACTCAGGCAAGACGAAGCGCGGCGAGCTCTCCCTCTTCCCGACGGAGATGACGCTGCTGACTCCGTGCTTGCACATGCTGCCCAAGGCTACCGCTTCAAGCAGCTGCGGAGCAAAGACCGAAAGTAAGAAAAGAAACGCGGCGCCGGATTCCAATCAGGCCCCTCGAGCGGCCTCGCCGACAGGGAAGTGTCTCGGAAGTGTCCACTTGACGAGTCCCACTCCTCAGGTCCCTCCCGGCTCGAGCGGCCTCGCAGACAAGGAGACTCGCTACCGCCAGCGCTACCTCGACCTGATCATGCACGCAGCATACGACGCGCAGCGCGATCGTCACGTGCTGGTGATGAGTGATGATTAATATGTGTGGGTCATCGTGAATTAGGAACCCGACGACGCGCAGCACGTTCATCACCCGCACGGGGGCCGCCGCCCCCCCCCCCCTCTCCCCGCCGCTTCTTCTCACTGTTCTCTGGTGGTGTCAAGCCCCCAGCCCCTTTGGGGGGTAGGGGGGAAAACCCCCCCCCCCCCCTCCTCCTCCTCGTGGTCCTCCTCCCCCTCCTCCCCCTCCTCCCCCTCCTCCTCCCCCTCCCCGCCCTCCTCCCCCTCCCCCCCCCCCCCCCCCCTTCTCCTCCTCCTCCTCCCCCTCCTCCTCCCCCTCCCCCTCCCTTCCCTCCGCTGCTGCCAAGCCACGGCCTCGTGCCCCACAGGCGCGCCATCAACTTCCTCCGCCGCTTCCTCGACATGCACGGCTTCTTCCTCGCGGTCGAGACGCCACCTCGACCCGCTCGCTTGACTCCCAGACACTGCGAACGAACAGGCACGGCTTCCTCGAGGTCGAGACGCCGATGATGAATGCGATCCCGGGCGGCGCGACGGCGCGCCCCTGCCCTCCTCCAGCACAGCTCTGGTCGACTCACCCACCACGCAGCACAGCTCCGGGGAATCCGCCAACCACCCGTCCGCCAGTCAGCCGCTCCAGCCTTGGTCCGTGGCAGGCGCGCCCCTTCATCACCAAGCACAACGACCTCAACCTCGACATGTGCACGCCGGACCGCGCCCGAGCTCCACCTCAAGATGCGGATGATGAATTGGTTGATTGATAATAGGCACATGGATCGGGCTCTACCTCGAGATGCTGATTAATGATAATTAATGAGTTAATTAATTAATACTAGGTACATGCGGATCGCGCCCGAGCTCTACCTCAAGATGCTGGTCGTCGGAGGGCTGGACAGGGCGCACGCCACCGGTCGCCTCTCTCGTGAATGGCGAGCAAGTCCTTTCCTGAGCATCGACTCTCTGGCGCAGGTGCCACGCGACCGGCGCCATGGGCTGCCATGGCTGCCGCGCCCTCACTGAGGCATCGACTCGTTGGCGCAGGTGTACGAGATCGGCCGCCTCTTCCGCAACGAGGGGATGGACCTCACGCGCAGCTTAGCCGAGAGTAGCCGAGACGCAGCCGAGACGTAGCCGAGGGGAGCCGAGACGTAGCCGAGGGGAGCCGAGACGTAGCCGAGAGGCGCCGAGGGGCGCCGAGGGGAGCCGAGAGGAGCCGAGATGCGCCGAGATGCGCCGAGATGCGCCGAGATGCCGAGCTGTGCACGGGCGCCTCTTCACAGCCGGAGGGGTCGCGAGCAGGCACAACCCCGAGTTCACGACGTGCGAGTTCTACTGGGCGTACGCGGATTACGAGGACCCGACACCCCCCCCACACACACGCACACACTGCTCACCCACGCGCACTGGTCCCCACGTTGAATGCCGTGGCGTCTCTTCACACTCGCTGCTGTGCACAGGACCTGATCAAGTTCACGGAAGAGCTCCTCTCGCAGATGGTGCCGCACACACTGGGGACGACACGTCCGCGACACGTCCACGACATGTCCGAGACACGTCCCGCAGGTGCTCAACATCTGCGGCGGGTACAAGGAGAGCGACGCACGCTCGAGCAATCTCGGCTGCATCTCGGCTGCATCTCGGCTGCCTCTCGGCTGCATCTCGGCTGCATCTCGGCAGGTCAAGCTGCATCTCGAAGCGAAGCTCGGCGAGACCCCCGAGGGGCGAGACCGGCTGTGAACGGCGCCTCTTCACAGCGCTGCGCTGTGAACAGGCGAGCCCGCCAAGGAGCTCGAGATCGACTTTACGCCCTCTTTCGGGGGCATCCCGATGATCTCT